GAGAGAGAGGGGTGGGGAGTGGGGGGGGGGGGGGGGGGGTGGGGAGGGAGGGAGGGAGGGAGAGCGCATATAGAGCATATACATACATACATACATGCCCTGCTTGCATATATATCTCCTCTATTGACTGTGCACAGCATAGCACAAATAAATAAATATGGTCAAGCAAGTCCTACTCAAAAGCATAAATATTTATTTCCTGGCAACCACTGAAAAAGCTTGCATTTGTTGACTTCAAATTTGATTAATAAGTAGCAATCATGAATCAATTCCCTAGAATAAGCTAATCAACAAAATCATCTGTAAAACAAAACTATGCATTTTATCTAATGATACAAATGGAATCCAATCAATATACATATATATGCATACATGAATAATAAATAAAGACATTTTAAAAATTAGGTAAACAAATTAAAGCCTGTAACCCGGACAACAAAATAAGAATAAACACAAACTCTTACTTCTGATTTCGAAGACACATTCTCCTCCATATCAGAATCATTAGGGTCCACAATATCATCAAAAGGTGGTAATGTATTTTTCTTTTTCTCCACCGGCTCACTTTCCATTTTAACTTTCCCAATTTTAAACTGAGATTTATCTTTTGTCTGTTTTTTCTCCACACTGGAGCAAGTAAGTATCAGTGGGGGAGCATTAGAAAAACTTTTAAATAAAGCCTCAGATCCACCTTTCTTCTTCTTTTTGGCTGCAAGGTCCTCAGAATCCAGACCAGGAGGCCTTTTGGAGGAGGCCTTCTTTTCTTGTTGCTGTCCACCACTTATGGTCAGTATGTTATTTTCTGATTTTGGCTCCTTTGACATAGGTTTGGGCTCTTTGAAGGCCATCTTAGGAACAATTTTTTCATCCTTTAGTGGTTTGTTTTCTTTGGGTTTTTTAGAGGATTCTTTGGAAGATTTGTAGTGTTCCCTGGAAGGTTCTTTGAAGGCACTTTTATGTTCTTTTGAGTCTTTTGAAGATTTTTCCTTGTGCTCCTTTGATAATTTATGGGGCTTTGAAAAACTGTTACTACTACTGCTGCTGCAACCAGTGCTTACACTCTTGCTAAGCTCCTGCAACAATAGAAAGTAAAAAGTTAACTCTTTACTCTTCTGTGTTTCAGAAATACCTACCATAAGTTGCTGCTCTGCAAACTTTACTTATGTTAATAAATTAATGTATAAACTTTAAATTATATATCAATAACAAACGTGCAATCATTGTGTATTATAACACAAACTACTGGGCTATTTCTTTGCTTAAATCACAACAAATAAAATTTCAATATACTGTGTACAGGTAGTCCTCGATTTACAACCATAATTGAGCCCAAAAGTTCTCTTGCTAAATTGTTAAGTTAATTCTGCTTTTCCATTTTACTTTTCTTGCCACAGTTGTTAAGTGAATCACTGTAGTTGTTAAGTTAGTAACACAGTGGTTAAGTGAATCTGGCTTTCCTATTGACTTTGCTTGTCAGAAAGTCACAAAGGGGGACACTGCAACCATCACTGAAACTAAATATGAATTAGTTGCCAAGCAGCCAAATTTTGATCACGTGACCATGGGAAGCCTGCAATGATCGTAAATGTGAAAAATGGTTATAAGTAACTTTTTTCAGTGCTATTATAACTTTGAACAGTGAGCAGCTTGGTGGTCTAGTGATGAAGATGCTCACCTTGGAAGTTTGAGAATTCAGTCCTAGTTACCAGCAGACCTTTCTGCTGGTTAGGGCACAAAGAAAAAAAATATGCTGCAAACTCCCTGTGATATCAGGAAGGACATCCAGCCAGGAAACTCTCAGCTCCATCCAGTCACCCTGAACTCTACACTGAATTAAGGGATTACAGGGTCGTAAAAAGGGAGTTTCATTGTAACTGAACAGTCACTAAATTAATGGTTGTAAGTTGAGGACAGTCATTATTTATATATTTAGAGAAGAGGTATGAAAAGACATTTTGTGAGATTCTACAGTACATTGAAGACTTCTAAAATTGTTTACACATGAAAGCATCTGCTGGGTAGTAAATGATTAAGTACTATGAGAATGGTTATTCTCTATTCTGAGCAAAACCTTTAAAAGTTTGTTAAGAATATTCATTGTTGCTTTATATGAAACACTATTATGTTGTAAGATTATTAATCATGCTGAGGTAAAACAGAATTCACAACTTGTTAAAAGTGAGTAAGCAGGATGGAGTTACTAAAAAAGTAATAAAATATATAGCTCTGATAATCTGCAAAACTATGATTGTGGAACAAGCTTAAACTTTAATTTAGAGAATATTTAACCAACGGGTGTCCAACCTTAGCAACTAAGACTATGTTGGCTGGGGAATTCTAAGGGTTGAAGTCCATAGGTCTTAAAATTGCCAAGGCTGGACACCCATGTTCTAACCAAACCATTTTTAGAAATGTATACAGGACCTTGGAGAGTTCCTGCCTATAGAAAAGCTTTTCCCAACCTGAAGCTCTCCAGATGTTGAAACTTCTACTCCTAAAATTCCCAACTAAACTGGAAAAGGCCAAAGTTAACAAAACTGAATTTAATCACATAAAATGTATTCATAGTTTCATCTTGGAAAACTAATAAAATCACATGAAGATTGGTAGTTTCTGTGTTGTGGGTTCATGTCACTTTGAAATAATAATTTTCTAATGCTGAAATTACAAACTTTAGGATGAAACAGCACAGTTCCCACAGAATTAGCAACAGATCTCTGAAAAAAAGAAAAACATATCTAAAGATAATAACCTATTTTGGTTTGACATACCTATGATTTATAGTTAAGAACATTGTTCAAAGCAAACCTGTGTGAATTCAATCAATATATAGCTTCCAGTGGTTACATTTAAACCTGGATGTATGGTCACAGTTGGGATTGGAATTTCATTCACGAACTAATGTGGTTGTTAAGTGAGTCATCACATGACTGGACCTGTTTTCACAACCATTTTTACTGCAATTATTAAGCCAAACTACATGTTGTTAACAGAATCATGCGATTTTTAAGGAAATCTGGTTTTCCCAATTGATTTTGCTTCTTGGAAGCCAGCTGGGAAGATCACACATGATTTGAAATCATGTAACTACAAGAAAATGCAACTATTGTAAATGCAAGCCAGTTGTCAAGTGCCAAAATTACAATCATTTGACTACAGGGGTGGTGCAATGGCTATATTTTCAAGGATGGGTTGTAAGTCATTTTTTCCAAGACCATTGTAACTTTGAAGTGTTGTCAAATAATTGGTCATAACTCAAGGTTTACCTGTAACTATGTTTACTTATAATTGAGCTTAATCAAAACTTGCTTCCACCTAAAGTTGCAGAACGTTCCACCCTCAGTTTGACATGCATTGACTCTAATCTCATCTTTGAAGTTCAACAGCTGAAGTGTATCTTATGGTAGACTATAGAAGAAACATTACATTTAAATGAAAACAAAAGAATAGAAGTGTGAGTAGCATAAGAAAACAAATCTTATGAAATATTTTAGTAAGTCAGGAAACTCCATGTTTAATTATGCATAATTTACACTGACAATAGCAAGCTGCACATTTGGTGTTGCAACAAGTACCATTCAGCAGGCTTAATAAATGAACTAGTTTAGAAATGATAATTAATGCTTATAAAATATATTTCCTTCCATTATGGCCATTTCTCGAAATCTTGCAAATGGGTCAGAAAATGCAATAAAACCATGAGGAGAAAATTGTTACCTGTTTCATAACTGCAGGCAAAAAATTATGTTTTGCGTATGAAAAGAAGATTATATTTTGTTTCCAATCCAAAACAAATGATCACATTCTGGAAAGTCTGCCAAACCATTTTGGCTGGCCATAGTTCAACTAACAGATGCTTCACTTTTCACTGTTTCGGAGAGATCCTTGCCAGATGGGTAGAGCATGGTTAGAGCATATTGTCCCTTTTTCCTCTCTACAGCTCATAGGGTGGCATATCTTACTTACCTACCAGCTTCTAATCTTCCCTGTGCTTCACCTTCTTTCCCTAACTGTTTCTGTGGCTTCAATGACACACAACATATTCCACTAATATGCCCATCTGTGATATCTGGAAGCCATTTCTAAATTTTGTATCTTAAGGGAATATTCATGCGTATACTGGTAGTAATATTGTCTGAATCATTAAAGAGCTGGTCATGACTACTTCTGAAGCTGTTTCCAGGTGCTCCGAGTGTAGGTATTTCACTTTAATGTTTTATATATACAACAACAACAATAGGTCTATTCTTTCTCAATCTGAACAAACAGAGTGACTTGGCCAAGACTCTGGTTAGATTCACAAACTGTTAAGCCAGTGAAAACACAAACAAGCTAAATATGGCTTAATAAATATTGAATCAGTCACTATTTCATAATGCAATCCTCTTCATGGGATTATTATTGCAATAAAATGGGAGTATGGGATCTACTGGGTATGCCACCTAAGGATAGCAAAGATAAAAGGCAACAAATAACTAGAAGTATTGTTGGAACTGAAATATGAAATTCTTGTAAATAAATGTAAACAGAGACTTTCTTTCTAAAAGCTTTCTGTGAATGAACATGTGGAAATGCTCTTAAAACAACTATGTTCATGTCCCAAATATTGGAACTAAGAAAGAGATTTGGATTTTCAAAAGTAACTTCCATAATGAATTAGTTAAAAGTTGATCACTGGCTCCTAGAAGCTAAGAAATGTTTTGTGTAGTCTTAATTACTTAAGAAATGATAAAATGAATTTTCTGAAAAACAAAATAATGATCCAGGACTTTAATCTGGGTATCTTTCTGAATACCTGGGTGTGACAAGCATTATCTCCACCTGGCTATGAGCTCTACCAGTATTCTTGACAATGTGCTAATCTAATGAAGAAAAGACTTAACCTCTAAATGGTTAAATCAAGATAAGGTTGGTGCTTTTTAAATACTAATATTTCTTTTCAGTTTCTCCAGCAATGTCATCATCCTTCCAGGAATATCTCTGTTTTGGTGTGCTAAAGCCAATCAAAGTTTGCTCCAGCTTTGTTTCTTTTGTTGCTGATCTATAACTACAACATCTACACTGGTAATTCCTGAAGGGAGTATTAACCTTTTTACCTTCTTAGTAGCTCCAAAGTTATGATCTTTTCTCCCAATCTTTTCAAGGAAAGCTAGAAAGAAGCTGTAAACCAAGAGAGAGAAGTTGCAGGCTACTGCTTGCACAGATATTGTGATGGTTCCAGTGAGAAAAGATCATTGGAGACTACTCATCAATATTTCCCTCTCATACACCCTTAAGGTAAAGGTTTCCACTGCCCAGTTGAGTCTGACTCTAGAGGCGGTGCTCATCTCCATTTTTTAGCCAAGGGAGCCAAAGTTGTCTATGGCCATGTGACTATGCCGAGGGGCACGGAATGCTCTTACCTATTTATTTACTTGCATTTTCATGATTTCAAGCTGCTAGGTGGGCAGGAGCTGGAGCAGGTAATGGGAGCTCATATGGCACTTGGGTCTTAAACCCAGGCTGTCGGTCTACCAACTGACAAGTCAGAGTCTGTTGAAACATTGCACCCCTCATACCAACTTAGCCACCCCTTATTTCAAAGGCCTAAGCTGTTGCATCTCTGCATGAAGGAAGTGATGGAAAAAACTAAGGGAAGTTTTTTCTAGAGGGGAATTTTCTCTCCAAATTGGTGCCATTCCCTACTTTCACATTAGATTTTTTGGTACTTTTTTTTCTGTGAAAGACTATTTAGCAGCAGGAGGCAAACATTCACAATTTATCTAAGATCTCCCTCTTTCCAAAACTTTTAAAGATTCATTTCATAACTGTGTATTAGTTTGCAAATCTTCTATCACCCTGCCACACATCTTTCCCAAACAAATCCTCTCCCTAGTTTCCCGAGACACCAAAGTACCACTTGTATTTGGACTTAAAACTACGTTTAAGTCATTATTTAGAATGTTTGAACTGAGTTATTACCCCACTGCCCCAATTAAAATTATTTTGAATTTGTGGTAGGATGTTGTTACATTTGCTTGAATACTCAAAAGATTCTGTAAGCTTTATTTAGGTGTCAACATAAACTTTTCAGTTGAAAAGACTTTTAAATCTGTGGTAACTTCATTTAATTCACCAACACATTTAACATATCAACACCTTGAACATTTAAATATCCTTTAGTTAATACATATTAGGGTGTGGCCTAAAACTGAACCATTGCAACATAGGAATCAGTTCTTGGACAGTGGGAACTTCCTTTGCAGTCCTCTTTCTTGCAACCAAAACATGTGACAAATCAAGGCCAGATTTGGGGCCTGATAAATAGATAAAAAGGATAAAAAGAATATAGTCCCACTATAACATGTGATTTGCTGATGAAACTTACAATAGGTTTATGTCCCTAATAAATACATGTTTTATTTCTACTAATTTGTTTCTCAACAGGCTGTGTCAACTCTAGAATTCAGTGCCAGGACAAAACGTGAGTAATTGTATCAAGTACATTTAAATTTAAATAGGCAAAATAAACAAATAAATAAAGTAAGGGTAATACATATATTTAGTTATAAAATTTTCAGGAGCAAACATATTTAACTAACCCTAAATATTCAGATTATGTCTATTTTTTTAATTGGTATGGATTTGCTGAAAAGGTTGAAGCATTTAACTAATTAATTCTTGGTTTATTGATAATTCAACATTCAAAACAGCTGCTGAAAACATATTCCAATTTCTAATCATAGACAACATCTTACCTTTGGCCCATGAGATGATTTTTTCTTCACTTCAGAAAAAGACAGGGAATTAGTGGGAAGATTAGGGAGATGAAGACTTTGCCCCGAAGCAACTGATGTTCCATCTGACATAACCATGATCTACAGTGATGAAGTAATAAAAATATTAGAAACGTTTATAAAATAAGCTGGAATATAAAGTGAGGATCTTGGAGGTAGACAATTAAATATCTTAGGTAAACTGACAATTATGATTTCTTCCGTGGGTTGTATGTAATTGACAATCATTTTATTAATGCCACATGGCTGTCACCAGAATAGAAATGACAGATTGAAGCAATAAAAATATCTTCAACAGTGGCTTTAGAAGCTCATAAAAATTAATATACTGTACAAAGAAATAACATGAATAAAAATTGTAAGTTTGATGAATTCATCCTGGAGGTGTGTTTCCCTTACACTACAGGTAGCAATGTTTGAAGGGTTAGAAGTTGCAATTCAGCCTCCCAACCTTTTGAAAAATTGCATAAATTCAAGCATTCTGGTAATCTTATCAGAGGAAACGAACTGATATGCATATATGTGGGTTTATCTCAATTTTAAGGAGAAATGGGACAGAGAGTCTTTGGGAAGTAAGACATTCATATTCTCATCCTTAAATCCTCTAAAACGGGGACATTGGAGAGTTTTAAAGGACTGGAACTAGTTTTCTAGATTCCTTCCACTTCCGTGCCAATATTTAACAATGGAGCCAGACCAAAAGTAGAGCCAGACCAAAATAGGCTAGGAAAAAAAAAAAGATAAATAGGGCTGTTTGTGGAATGAAGTGATTTGCTTTCTGGTAAGGGCATTTATATTCATTTTCACCTAATCAGTTTTCTGTGGACACCAATGCTTTCTGCTCCATTAATTTTATTTTAAAAAAGGCATCAGAAAAAACCCCAAATAAGCCTAAATTCATCTATTTTGCCACCACATTTAAGCAATATGTATATTTTACATAGTTTATGCACCTATTTAGGCTGTCTTTGGAATGTTCATATTATGTATACAATGAAGTCAGATGTACCATCTGTTGAATCACTTAGATCTGGGTGTCAAACTCAAGGCCTAGCGGCCAGATGTGGCCCACAAGGTGCTTAGATCTAGCCTGTGGGGCTGCCCTGGAAAAAGGAAAGGACTGGCCTGCGGTGCCTCTGCCAGTGAAAACGAAGCTCAGGAGGGCCATGGGCAGCCCTCCTGAGCTCCGTTTTTGCTGGCAGAGGGTAAAGGAAATTGATGCAGCCAAAAACGGAGCTACAGAGCCCGTTTTCACTGACAGAACGCTCAGGCCACTACAGGTGCCCCTGACATGAGTGATGTCGAACTGGCCATGCCCAAGCTGGCCATGCCCACCCTGGCCCCCAGAGGTCAAACCACAACCCTGAGGCGGCCCTCAATGAAATCGAGTTTACACTCCTGACATCCCAGAATTTGACACAACCTAGACATCCAGAGTTCACTTGAAACCAAGTTCCCTAGGAGGGAAATTGTTCGAATTCATAAAGGATCAAATGAAAAACTGCAGTTCCAGGTAAATAATCATTCTTTGTGTTGGGAATAGAAATAAGCATTAAAACAAATCAATCAAAACTTTACTATGGTCTAAGACCAGAGAGTGGCATACAAACGATTTAAAAGCATAAAAGATACACCAGGATTTTTTAAAATTACAGTAAAAAGCTTTAAAAAACATGAAAATCTAAAAGAAATCTTTAAAAAAGATCTTTAAAAGGGGATAGGAACAATAGATAGGCATAGAGAATTATGGCAATTTAAATCTATTACAATACAAATCATTCTAGAAAAATGAAGTAGATGCTCTTTAAAACTGGCTTATGCCATAGGTTATCTTCTGATTGATTTTAAATGCTGCCATGCAGAACCTGGCAACACTATGTGCTATTGCAAGGCTGGTTGTCTTAAAACATCAGGAGAAGTAAAGTTGTCCTATGCTCCCTGGATATGTACACAATAATGGTGAGACGGGGCTAGAACAAATGTCTCTGTAGTACAAGCACAGGAGAGGAATGTGTTCTGTTGTTTCTGCATGTCCAGAGTTATACACTGTCTTCCCAGGTAGGGGGCCTTCCTGTATCGGGAAAGTTCAGTTGAGGGGAGGGCATGACATCATGCCAGAGTAAAGGCTCTCCAGCAATTAGGTACTTCAAGTTAAATTTGGGGGGATGGGAGAGTACCTGTTGGGTTCAGTAGCAATAAAAGTTGGGGACATAGCTAAGTCATATTGGTGCTCTGTGTGTGCTATATATTCTTTAATGAGTGCTTTGGCCTAATTGTATCCTATGCTGTGTAAAAGATCTGTGGAGAAGTCCAAAGATGAGATATATATTTTTTCCCTGTCATTTCCCATGTGGACTGAAAATCACTACTCATAGTTAGTGAGGCAAGGTTAAGGGGAGAAAGGATTAATGAGAGCCAGTAGTTGAGCATAGTCACCCATGCTGCAATGCCTCTAATTTCATGAGACCTGTCTCTAGTCTTAGGGTGGTATAATAAGAGACACACATTAAAACATAGTATACTCTGAACTTTGTAGATTAAGTATGAAGAACTTTGGATTTATCATCCATAAACTACAGCTAATAATATTGTTTTACTTTCGTAGAAAGACTTTAGTATACCTGATGTAAAACCCTGGATAAAGTCATGTTTTCATATGAACATACTGCACATATGAACTGGTCTTGTAGCATTATGGAAGTCCAGTCTATTTTTAATGTAATGTATTTTTAAATGTAAAAATATTAATCAGAATGCAGTGGTAAAAATTAACATAAACTAAACTTAGAGAAAGAAATCAGAATAGAAAGCATTAAAAATGCAGAAAAAATAAAGAAAAAGAATACAGTATAAGGTATAATACAATTAGCTATGAACTGCCCAGAGTCATTCTAAGAGTGATATGGTTATCTAAATTTGAGGAAAGAAAAAAAGGAAGGGAGGAAAATGGGAGGGAGGGAAGGAAGGAAGAAGTAAGTAAAAGATTTCCAACCTTTATTACAGCAAGATTTAAAAAAATTAATAATTCTTCACCCCTACAAGGTTAAACAGGTATTTCTTTATCCTATATCGGTCAATATTTAATTTGTTGTTTAAGAATGAACTTTGAGCTTTTTGTTTCATACTATATAATGTATTTCAGTATATATCTTTTTCTTTTTTCTTAATCTGTGTTTGTTTTCTTCTCAGTTTTTTATTTGGTCTTTTCTTCTGTATCTTTATAGAGTGTCAGTAATAACAAGGAGTCTGTTCTTCCTCATGATCTTGACATCCTCTTTCACCGAGCCCACAGCTTTGGGAAGGATGCAAATGGAGCAATGATGGAAGAAAGAGATACCCACCCAACCATCCAGATTAGCCACACCAATCCTGGCAATCAGTGATGGCAGATATCATGGTCAGATTATCCTTACCCTGATCAATGTGATTCAGACATGTATAAATAACTAGATTCTAACCAGGAAAACAATGATCATGTGAGGTGAGCAGACAACTTTTCTAAAGATTTATAATCATTTTTTGGCAAGCCAGAAACTGCTGCTCTTTTTGGCTTGTAAAACAAAAAAACGACTGAGAACACATACCATGTAAAGGCATAATGTGATTTGCCTGTTTCAGTTTAGCATGATATATGGATAGGATGTGTGTGTTTCTAAGATTTGTTTGTGGTTTCATGGCTTATTCTATGTTTATTTTGTGAATGCTCAGGAACAAAATAAAGTAATTGATCAAATTATAGTCATCTTGCTTAAATACGGTCATCTTGCTTATTTACAAATCAGATTTTGACTTGCATAGTAAAATATGGTTGAATATTTTATATATTTATGAATTTAAATGAGAAATATTTAGCCTTTGCTGGCCAGTACTTATTATTCTTTTTTTCCCTATGTAGACACCATGACGAAAGTAGACCTAATTGCATTATTCTGTGCAAAAATATGAATTTCGTGGTCTATCTGTGTGCGTTGTGTATAATATGCCAAGTATTTTATATGAATGAAATATCCTATATGCTTCATTAAACCAAATTACATTCAAAAATTGAACTGAGAACTATGAATTCAAATGAAATTACACTTTAAACAAATGTTCAATGTTAACAGGAAGAAATTGGGCTTTACTATCTAAGTTATTACACAAATGTTTAAAGGCAGAATGTAAGTTTCATTTCATATTTTGAGAAATTTTCAATAAAATATGCTAACCCCACTCCAGAATTACTCTACTGGAGGAAATTCTTTAATATATTGTTAAGCATAGCAAACAGTACAATAAAGTTATCTTTCAAAGGATATTTGGAAGTGAGGGAAGCCACATATCAATTATTAACACTGAATCTGGTACACTGAAGTGAATGAGCCTCGAAGTTCTTAACAAAAAATTCCTCTTTTTTCCTCAAAGAAGTAAATCTGTTTTCATAAACCCAACCTTACTGTTTCAATTACTGTATAGGTTAAACATAAGAAAAATGGAAGAAATATTAATTTGAAGATGCTTTTAAAGCACTGCATATTTAACTCTCAACTTGACTTCCTGTAAAGGTTCTTAATAAAGGGATAAACTTTCTTTCACATGTGTATTCAATCACCTGAACATTGAAAATTACATTTCTGAGCTCCTTTAGGGAGTCTTTTTTGCAGTATGGTTTTATCCTGGTATATAGTATCTGCATCTCTGCTACTATTTCACTTTTATTTGGTGTCATTGGCTTCATGTTGTACCTGAGGTACCTATATTATGTGATCAAGACCATCTGTGCAAAAAAAAACCCAACCACTACTTTTTAACTTAAGAGATTTTGCTATGGAGGAAGGGAAACAACTTTCACTGTGCTTAGAATCTACTTCGTGATTTGCTGTTTGTTTTTATATAAACTCACTCCGCCAGCTTTAAGTAGCTTTCTTCTGAACTCCTCTGTTGGATTGTTAAAAGTAAGCTTTTCACAGCGAAGATGGTTTACAGGTGGGTGTCCTTCCAGATGCAGGAACAGATCATAGTCAAAGCGGACTTTCTTCGGTTCTTCCTATAGGTTAGAACACAGTCAGACAAAACTGGAAAAAAAAACCTGACACTATATGACATGCTGGCTTTTATCCCAAAACTATAGATTACATTCATTTACTCATAAAATATTGTGGTAATTGATTTTTAAAAAGTGAATAGACATTTGGGCTGGGGACTTTCCGGATTGAGTTATGACCTGGGACTCACTAAAAATTAGGATTTTTAAATTAACGAGAAAGAAAAGATTATTTTGAATCTGATCAAATCAAACTTCCAAAATTCACTCACACAGCATTTCTTCCACACTCTTTTACACTGTAGAATTATTGCATTAAACTTTGACAGGATTACATATTGTACAGATGCCTACCACAAGCATATTATCTATGTATTGCCAAGTTGGCACTGATTATCCATAAAAAATCAAGGTGCTAATTATGATTTATAAGGCCTGAAAATGTTTTAGATATTTTTTTTCCTATAGCTTATTGCAGCTATTAAGATCAACCAAGAAGTCCTAATTAATAATAGTGTAGCAGGTCAAATGCTGTTTTTCCTTTATTACTAGCAGCACAAATACTTTCAACTACTGCTTGATAATATTATCTGAGTTGGAAACAGGTAAATTAAAGAGTGAAATAGAAGTATTTATTTATACTCACATACAAATTTAAAGTAATTGTATAAAAATCAATTTCCTCCATTTTAAAACAAAGAATCAATGCTAAAAGACAGTGATTTGCCAGAATTAACTAGTGGTCAGTGCCTAAACTAAATTAGACAAAATTTAAAATAAATTTTGATTTAAATTAGACAAAAATTATCTGGTAGTAAATTACTACAGTAAAAATTTAGTCAGCAATGCTGACTGGAGCCCAAATATTTAACACTGATTTGCATCATGAGCTTAAACATATTTGCTCAGAAGTAATTTCCACTAGATTAAGGCTGAATTATGTACGAAATGGCAGCCTTAAATCAAACTGTGTTTAATTCTCTGTTAAAGCCAGAAGAAAGGTGTACAAAACTCTGTGTGCCTAAATGACTTTAAACTGATGTCCACCATAACATCTCAGTAAAAATGCTTCCTCTGTGTCTGTGAAAGGTTTTATTACATATATTGTAAAAAATTTAATTATATCTCAGCTGTTTCAGGATGGAAATGAATTGTTATACCAGCTATTCTATTATTGCTTGACAAAAAGTCTATTTGTTTAGCAAATTCTCCAGGAAAGGACCACCTTTATGTGTTGGACAACCATGATACAGTTTATAGAATAAGAAAAAAAATCAAAATACTATTGTGCTGTGTATATATAGCATAGTAATTGCTAGAGAGCCAGAAGAGGATAACTGCTGTACAAAGACTTCATCCTGAAGCAATTTCATATTCGGCAGGATTTTGGTTTTTTTATACCTGAGACTACCAAGTAACATAAATTGAAAGTGATAGTCAAAAAAAACCCCCTTATTTTCCAAGCAAAATCTAAAGTATGAGTAACATATAATTTAATATAGAATACAATATTTTAAGTTCAACCTTTTGTTACAAGCAAAAGGACTCATTTTTTCTACACAAAAATCAACACGAATAGGACCTAACATGAAAAAAATATATTTGAAATCAATTGGGCAAACACCACAAAACTACTCTGTTCTGAACGTCTAAGTACATGGCATAAGTAACAGCTAACCATCCAGTGGTGGGATTCAAATTTTTTTACTACCGGTTCTGTGGGCATGGCTTGGTGGGCGTGGCAGGATAAGGATACTGTAAAATCTCCAGTCAGAGGTGGTATTTTGCCGGTTCTCTGAACTACTCAAAATTTCCACTACCAGTTCTCCAGAACTGGTCAGAACCTGCTGAATACCACCTCTGTAACCATCAGTGCTCTGTACAGTTCAGAATGGCCAACAGCTTTGTTAAAGGGTAAAATAATAATGTGTGGACCAGGATTACATAATGAATAAGAACTAGGTTTCATGCAGTCTAGTATTTTCTTATTTCAACAGTCAGCCAAAAGCTTCATAGGAAGCATAAGCTTGCCATAAGAGCTCAGTTTCCCACTCTCATTTTCTAGTAAGTGGTACTGAAAGATTTATAAGAGTAATATATTGCCATTTAATGTTTATATAGATATAGTGGGAATTTAGACTGTGTTTGTCAAAAGTAATTCTTTCCATTCTATTTATAAAAGAAGAAAATATATTCCAGTCTCTTGGAAAATAATAATATTCCTATCCTGAAAGTCAGACATTTGGGTGTTTTAAGAAATTTCTAGATACTCAAAATATTTGGATTTATCAGAGAATATCTATTGACCAAAGCCAATTATTTTAAGGATGGCTACTGGCTATGATTTGATTCTACTTCATCTAATGGAATATTAAAAGTCACAACACTACATTAAAAAGCTTATTTTAAAAATAGTAGAATTGAATTAAAAAAATAAACTCACTTTTATTCCCAGTGATATTCCAGTGAATGACATTTATTTAGGGTAAAATGTAGTAGCTTGGCCAAAACAACAGATGGTAGATATAACTTCAAATCCTTAATTTCCTCTAAACTGTACTATTTTTACATTTTACATTTTAAATACCACAAAGAGCAGCCTCCTTCCTTAACAAAGCATTATTTAACTGTCTTATTCTTCCAAAATATAATCTCCACCTCTCATCTTACAAATTCATTTTCCATTTCAGAATAAAGGAAACCCAACATCACATGTGCGGAAGGCAGTTTGACTTTGCTTTTCCCTCTTTTCCATTACAGACCTCTATACATCCTTAAAGAACCCTTCCTAAAATCAAAAGGACTTACAAAGAATTGTGATATGTGTTTAACAGTCCTAAAGTAGGCAAGTAGGAATCAATTAAAATTAGAAAACTATTTACGCTTCTCACTGCAGATTACATCTATCACTATTTACTGTAACACAAATTAAATCAGAGAATTTTAAAAATATTCATTGATTTCATGGAACCTTTTAAAGAGTCTTGGGGCCTGCAAGCGGATCCCCAGGCCATACCGACCACTCTAAACTTTTATCTCCTGGAAAGATTTTTTTATGGGAACTTATAGAAGTCAGCAACTTTCCTTTCAAAAGAAGGGAAAAGTTAAGTAAGTTCCTATAATAAATGATTTCATTAAATATAAAGGGTAAACATTCAATACACTATTGAAAATAACCAAAATCAGCTTTTACATTGATTGTATCTTACATAAATTTAAAATACCCTGTATAAAAATGAGATTAATGAAGCTAACTAAATTAATGTCCCAACTAGCTGTCTTAGGTATGTATGTTTCTGTGTATCTCTTGGTTTATTGCCACAAAATAAGCAGGTATTTCTTCTTCTTCTGAAATAACAGTTAAGAACTTAAAACATTTATTCAAAGCAACTTTAACAGAGATAAGTTAACTATAATAATTAAATTATCATCTTTTAAAAAGCAGTATGATAAAGATTTGAAGTCATCTATATGATAATTTTATTAAATTATAAATTTATATCAATATTCAAAATATATTATGAAAGTTAATCACTCCCATTAAGACAGAAACAGTATCCATAATGAATTAAATTTCCTTATCTATTGGATAGCATCTAATGTTGCATTAGTGGATTTTTAAACAACAAAACGTCTCCATCTGTTCTTGAATATCTGTTAGGCAGCATCTCACAACTCACTATATATTTTGAAAGAATAGCAACAGGCTGCAAGGGAGATACAAAATCTACTTCTTGGATTGATGCCATTCCATTGGCAGACACTTCATTTGGATTTTCCAGGCATATTTCAAGGATTGAAAAGGGTTTATGAAATCTATGACAAATGAAATTTTATCAGCAGATTTTACACTGACATTTAGGAAATCATTGAAAGGGAAATTTAAAGGAGAAATCTAAAGAACTTAATATGTATGTATAGAGAAATTGAAAGAACAGCATTACGTACCTTGTTTTTAAAGTAAACCTCTATTGGCAAAATAAACCCAGCATACCCAGATTCTTCAACTTTGTATGGTGGATCTTTGCACACTGAGGGGGAAAAAGAAAAAAAGGTTGAGTTTATAGTTTGAACAATAATTCTATGGCTAAATAAATTCAAATTGCCGAAAAATGGCTTCAATTTTTTTGACTAGTTAGCTATTCACAGCATAATTCTAATATTTCTTCCCTCCCTCCAGGAGCAAGACAAAACTAAAGTGGATTTCTTGGAGGATGGTCAGAAACATGGCATGCTATTTTGTTTTCAGGAATTTCCATTTTTGGAAATACCTATTTTTATGAAATTAATTCATATCATAGTTAACACGAAAATACTAGGAAGTCTAGTGGAATTACAACAATACTCATTAATAGTTTCAGGTGCTTCTTAAAAGCACATATAGGTGGCCGTAGCATGCCACAATTAGAATATAAAAGGTTCTAATGTTTGTCCCTTTGTCTTTCAATCCCTGTAGAAGTTCAATAAAGAAATGTATATACTATTTGACATCTCACAATATATCCAAGAAATCCAATAAAAATGTCCAAGGAAGGAAGCCTCTGAATTTACTGGATTATGCAAACTTTATTGACTTTTTAAAACAATAATAATTCACTTCATTATTTTTGGTGTCTTACAATAGATATTTGTACAGCATGAAAAATAAGCATGCCTCTAGTTTTTGTTGAATAAATTAATGACTTGGCCCCACAGATATAGAGAATCAGATTTCACATTTTTTAAATCAAAATTTTGTAGAAAACTGGACTTGAAAGCAGTTTAATTGCCAAACAGATAAATTTATTTATATAAAAGACATTTCTATGACAATTCTGTACTCCCCAATAGTATTATGCTGCTTAAGGTCAGGGGTGGTTTTCTACCGGTTCGGACCGGTTTAGGCAAACTGGATGTTAAATTTGCATCTGGTTCGCCGAACTGGTATTTGAACCGACCAGTTGGCTGCGCCCACCCTGCCCCTCCCCTCCCAGGAATCTCCACGTGGCCCATTTTTGATACAGGTAAGTGCGGGGTCCACGCAGAGGCTCTGGGAGGGGGAAAATGGGCCTTCTGGAAGTCCGGAAATGGGCCTATTTCCAGCTTCTGGAGGGACTCCAGAGCCCAGGGGAGTCTGTTTTCACCCTCCCAGAGGCCCGAGGGAAGCCTCTGGACCCTTGGGAAGGCAAAATATGGCCCTCCCAGAAGTTCCGGTAGGCCATGCCCACGCCCACCCAGCAACTGGGCAGTGAACCAATTGCTGGGTTTTTTTAATCCCACCCCTGCTTAAGGTCTTTACTCTCCAAGCATTTATGAGTTTTCTCAAAAGATTTTCTTTAAATGTAAGGAAAGGCTTGGCCAGTTAATTGTTAAATCCAGAACTTTTTTCTGGAATATTACTTAGGTTTTAAAATATAAGTGCAACACTATAAGATTTTAAAACACATTTATTGTATATATACATAGGATTCTTGATTATTCAAAAAATGTATACATAGTTCTGTATTTTATGAATATATTTAATTTTATGTATTTGTTCATTAAACATAATAATTGATGAATAAATTAAAACTGCTCATTTAATACAACTGCTCCTGAACAAAACTGTGCTATTATATTGTCTCTAATTGTAATAGTAAAATTTTTATTGCTTTTTTATACTATTAATCACACCTCACAATCCTAGTAAGGGTTCCAACATCACCAATATCTCATAAAAAATCAAAATCAAGTTCAATAACTAAACCAAAACACAACTTTAAGTTACAAAGCTCACTCACAGTAATCTTAGCCTGGATTCAAATATAACAAGGAAAACTAAGAAACGTGATTTGGGGGAAAGGGGGCAATTCTAGCAAGAAAGTGCTAGAATTAGCAAGGATATTTTAAACAAGACAATAAAAAGCAATGCTAGAAGAATAGATGGAATGAGTTAAGTGGCTGCAATAACTTGTTGAAATGTACATTTTCATACTTCCAACATGAAGTCAGGATTTATTTCATGGCAATGCAAGCCATTTTAATAACTAATAGTAAATTATATTCACACAGAGTGGAAATTCCACTAATAAAAGCATCCAGCTTTAATAGTTCTGGGCTGGCATAGAATCTGCATTAAGAAATGACAGCTAGAGCTCCAGAACAAGCACAAAAGGTAAGACTTTTACCTTCATGTCTTGCTCATGGATTTCCAGGAAGCATCTGTCTGGCCACTGTTGAAAACATGATGCTGGACTAAATGGACCCTGATCCAGCCAAGCTCTTACGTTCTTATTCTGGAAATTTAACACATACATATTTTGGAAATAGGAGAGCAAATCAATTTCAGAAATGGTCGGTGTTCATATATCTCAACACACTAAAGGTCAGAACAGTGAAACCCATTTAGACAAGAACTGCCGTCCACTTATCCCCAGCTCTAACAGATGAATTTATCTAGGCACCTTTATTACTTCATAACTGAATTCCTGAATGAAGTATAATCATAAAGAATAACAACGTAGTTAAATGTTTCTTATCTCCTCACATATATTTTTCAATGAAACTTATTCATACATTTTCATTGGGAGTGACATTTCGATTGGTGCTTATTTTGAAAACAGAGACTCAAACTTTTTTTTATTATTGCACACAGGTAAAATTAATTTTTCTGACCTTTTACATTCATATATAGATTATTTATCAACTGACTGTGTTTTTTAAACTTCTGGATATCAAGATCAACAATTACAGGAAAAAAACCTGCTTAAATATATATATTAAATATATATATGTGGAATACCACTCATACATCATCACAAAATCTCCAGAAACGTAAAGCCTACAAACTTGAAATTTGGCACGTATGTTCCTCTTGGCTTCTTGGTGCTCACTAAGGATTTTTTGAAATGACCACCAGAGCATTAGTATTTTGTATACTATTATTAACACGCTCTGATGCTAAGGAGTTCTACTCCCCCTCCCCACCTGAAAAGAAATCTCTTCCAAATGCAAAACACAAGCAGAGGAGAGGAGTTTCAGTTTTAGATTCACAGCAGCAGCTTTACTACAGAACAGTTGAGCTAAGCCACGACCAGGCTCCTTGCTGTCTCCTTCTTGCTCACACAGCAAATACTGTTTGAGTTTCCAAACACCCCTCAACTCTCTCACACACTGACAGGACTCTAGCCAGATGAATACCGATGGATGCCGATAGGCAGAGAAAGAATATTTTCTCCCTTATTTTCCTCCCCAAAAACTAAGCCCGACCACATACTTTCGTAGCAAAGCATGGGTATTGAGCTAGTTCATATAGATCAGGGGTAGTCAACCTTTTTATACCTACCGCCTACTTTTGTATCTCTGTTATTAGTAAAGTTTTCTCTAACCGCCCACTGGTTCCACAGTAATGGTGATTTATAAAGTAGGGGACAAAACCCCTACTGCCCACCATGAAAGCTGGAACACCCACTAGTGGGTGGTAGGGACCAGGTTGACTACCACTGATATAGATGTTCTGACCTAGGCTTCACAAAATCACGAAACAGACTCCTTGTCCCGACAAAACCCTTTTTTATTAGGCCAATTTGAAAGCCTATCATTCACATCCAGCAAAATCCTGGCAAACAGTCTTTCAAGGGTGAATTGCAATGACAGACCTTAACAGGCTTGGAGAGCTGCCAGGCCGATAGCTTCCAAGTGCAACACTGTACAAGGAAATACTTGGCAAGGAGTCTCTGTGAGTCACGAACTCAGATAAACAGATCTTCACACTAATTGTCTCTTGCAAACCCCACTCCCCTTTCACTCCTCTTTATTCCCTATGGGAGAGGCCCTTCACTGTCCAACTGTGCCTTGTTCCTTAACTATTCCCTTCTCCTGATGGCTCTGCACATGTGCACATTGGGAACAGGCTCCAGCTGTTCTTCTGCCCCACTGATCTCCAACTCCGAAGGCAGCTGATAACTGTCGGATGGCCCTTGCCCCATTGCTGCATCCAACACAAAGCACTCATCAGAGACTTCCCAGACTCCAGGACTGGCCCATGTTCCTCCCCAACCTCCTCATTGTCCAAGTATGCCACCAGCTCTGCTGAGTGTTGGCGGGCCACAACAATAGAGTTGAACAAACAAGTGTGTTAACCTTACTGAATTTTATTTATTTATTTAATTTATATTGCCGCCTATTCGCCCATGGTGACTCGAGGCAGCTTACACAATGTAAAACCATATTTAAAACAAAAAATAAAAATAAAAAACAATAAAAACTAACAAAAAGAATCAAATAAATTAGTAAAGTAAGATAGAACAAAATTTGGGAAAACAAAAAACAAAACAAAAAACAAATCAAAAACAAAAACCAACTCTCACCCCCTGCCCCGATGACAGCAGATCACACTAGCCATTTGATGGGCTCCATCCCTCTCTGGGTTCCCCAGGCCTGCTGGCAAAAACAGGTCTTCAGTGCCTTTCGGAAGAGTGCTAGAGTGGGGGCCATTCTAATCTCTGGGGGAATGATATTCTAGAGAGAGTGAGCTACCACGGAGAAGGCCTTTCTTCTGGGTCCCGCCAGTTGTATCTTCCTCAGGGGTGGGACCCGCAACATTCCCTGCCTCCTCAATCTAATGGGTTGGGTAGAAGTGACTGGCAAGAGATGTTCCTTCAGATAACCTGGACCCAAGCCATGAAGGGCTTTAAAGGTGACAACCAGCACCTTGAACAGCACCCAGAAGCAAATCGGCAACCAATGCAGCTCCTGCAGGAGAGATGACACATGTCTACACCGGGGTCTGCACAAAACCATGCAGGCCACTGCATTTTACACCAACTAGAGCTTCTGGATCCTCTTCAGGGGAAGCCCCATGTAGAGCGCCTTGCAATAATCAAGACAGGAAGTGACCAAGGCATGAGTGACGGTGAGTAGGGACTGTTGATCCAGGAAAGGGCGTAACTGGTGCACAACCCGCAGTTGCGCAAAGGCCCTCCTGTTCACGACTGCCATCTGCTGTTCATACAGGAGTCATGAGTCCAGGAAAACCTTCTTCCTGAGCCATCAAACACAAACCCAGAGCCAC